GTGACGGATAAAGATAATAATCATATGTATTTTAAGACATAATATGCATTTAAATAAGGACTTTCCTACAAGTACAAAATGTATCACACATACCTATTTATTGTCAAGGTTTTTGATTCGTTTATAATGTTATGAAAATTAATAATAAATCGTACTTATATATAACAAGCGACTTATCCCCGCTTCACTCGGGTTCGTCCCTAGCTTGCTTCCCAATACAAATTTTCATCTCCATTTTCACTCCCTTAAGAGATGATTTCCGGGATAAAAAGTATCCTATATCCTTTCCAGGGTCTCAAAGTATCTTCTTACCAAATTTCAGTCTTCAGATTTCAGATTCAGTCAATCAGCTCAGTAGATCCAGATATTACCCTCTATATACAATCACAAACTCACAATTCACAAACTTTACCTCTATAATATTAGTACAGATATACCTATACCTATTATGAATGCAATGTATATAATATTATAAATACAAAAGGCGCGAGAACTTGTTAGTAATAATAATAATTTGTATAAAATTATTTGCGTTTGAAGCCATATTGGTTTTAAATTTTAAATCAATCTTTTTTGGGGTATGTAAACAGACAAGGAAGCTTCATTAAAAAGGGATTGTTTAGTGATCTAATAACGCAATGAAAACGCTTAGCGAAGTTTACAATGAGTCGTTAATTGTTAGTACCATTTGTTGAACAGAAAAAGGACATGATGACGCGGATTATAAAAACGCTGTAGGGAGGTACTACGAAATGTTTATTAATAGGGATCTATTCTTTGTATCAAATTGTAACATAATGTATATAAAACGATTGTGTACAACAATAATTTATTTAAAACTTGTGTGAACTCTAAGGTCCAGCTACATCAATATTGTAATTTTTATTCCCAACTTTATAGTAATAATATTCGATATCTTAAGTCACTGAAGTTACATAGGCATGTGATATACCAGCAAGTGCTTGAAATGTTAGATTACTATTTTAATACTAATAAATATTTTAAGGATATTTTAGATTTGTGAATACATAGATTGTATATAATGTATGAAAACATCCGTCCACGGATGATTATTATCGAGCACTACTCACGGCGCAGGCGGCCGCGACACGCATAAAAAGCAAAAACAATTCATAAAACCTGTTGCATTGTTCTTTCGCAAGAGATCTCCACCGAGAGTCATGATCAGAGGAAATCATTTTCTAACACGTGTACAATTTAAAAACGAACATTGAGACAACAATTTAATATTTTGTTACAAAAATAATTTTCATATTGAAAGCACAACCTGAATAAACTAATAATAATTATAATAAATATGGAGTTTAGTGGAACAGATGAAAATATTACAATATATTTAATGTGAGGGGGGTTTGTTTCTATATAGTTCATCAAACCGCGCTAGCTGGCTTTTTGAAATTATTTAGGTCCTTTCAAATATGATAATAATAATAAATAAAGTCTCAGAATTATAACCAGAAATTTAAGCCCGCTTCACTGTTTCCAAAGTGAGAGGGCTCTCAACGGTCTCACATTGATTCAGATCGGTGTATGCAATGCTACCTCCTACCTATGTTTTGCTAAAATTAAAATTGTTAATTTATTTTCTTTTTTTCTTGTAGCATGTAGTAGAAAGATGTCTAAAACAATTTTGTTAAAGTAGTTAATATTTCATTGTTTATGCCCGAATCTCCAATTAGGTATAGCAGAAATTAATGATTTTTATAGAGTACGTACCAAACAAGAAAATGCAATAAAACAGCTATACCGTATGAAGTAATAAACGGGTTTTTGTGAAACATCAATTATTATGTAAAAATATAAAATAATTATTATAATTACATAAATGGGTATATACATATTTATATACACATATACATACATATTATAAACATATAAATTTTAGTATCTTTTAAATGGCACAAATATATACCGTATACGAAGTATGACACATTTCTCATAATTTTATCTTATAGTTACGAGTAAAACTGATAAGCACACTATAAAAATATACTTACTGTATTCTAATGTATTCTCAGTATATTATATAAACATTTTTGTTTATTTAGACCATCTATACTAATATTATAAAGAGGTAAAGTTTGTGAGTTCGTGACGTTGTAGGGGGTAATCTCTAGATCTACTGTACCGATTTAGAAGAAATTTGGTAAGACAATAGTTTGAGACCCTGGGAAGGACATAGGATACTTTTTATCCCGGAAATAATCCCTTAAGGGGGTGAAAATGGGTATGAAAGTTTGTATGTGGAACCAACCTAGGTACGAACCCGAGCGAAGCAAGGGTGAGTCGCTAGTTACTAAATAAATCTAATGTACCTCCTATATGACAGAGTATTAAACGGGGAATTTAGTTGTATGACGTTTTGGAATCAACTCAAGTTATGAAAATGAAACATAGCCCACTTTTTAATTGCAACTATCAATTAGTTGTGCAGCAAAGTAACATTGCAATTTCTTGAGCCCATCATACGTATTGCGAGGTTAAACAAATAGACGGATATATGTAGGTAGCATATTCACGATAACAAAATTAACATTGTTACTTTTATTACGCGAATATTTACCGTTTTAAACAAAACAATTTTTTTTTCGATTTTATTTTAATTATTGGTTGCCGACGTTTCAAATGTTTCACAGGACATAGGTATGGGAGAGACTGATTTGTGACCATGCACAATACATCTTTTTAAAAGTAAGACACATGGAATTGGACATTGATATTGACTCTTCATAGAGCGAAGCCTACAATCGGGCAAGAGTGCATTTTTGGAAATATAAATGCAAAACTAAGGTACAAGTGCGGAGCCGCGGGCAATTACTAGTCTACTATACATACAATTTTTTAACGGTTATAAGTTTATATATGTAAATAGTATCGAGTACGAGCATGCGGTCAGCTGGCGCAATAGGGCGCTTTATTTGTAAATTTTAAATTTCATAAAAAAAAATCTTTCATAAATCTCAATGGCAAACTAAAAACAACTGGCCAGTTAAATATAAAATAGACAAAACATCTCGAAAGCTAATTTACAACTCGGCTAATTTAATCGGACATAATACAGTTGAAGTAGGAATACGTCACACGAAACATTACCTAAATTATAAAATTAACCACAGTGAAAGTGTATCAAAAGAAACGTTATTAAACAATATAGTTTTTTTAGTGATAAAAGAGCAATAGAACAAAGTGTTTACTTTTTATTCCAGGTGCGTTTTCTTTCAGTTTCGAATACCAAATTCGTATGCATGATTTGTAGCACAAATTACTTTTGTAAGTCTCATTGCATTACGAAATTTCACCTCCATTAATAACATAGTAAATGACAAAAGTTTTAAGACCAATTTAAAGTTGCACAATAGATAACTTGATTAGTAAAATAATTTATTATTTTCAAACACATTTTTTGTACAAACAATGAAAACGTCCGGTTGTCTAAGAATCAAATTTAACATAATGACAAGTATTTAATTTTATCAGCAACTTATTATTATAATATCATTATATTTGGACTATGGATTAATGTGATTGATAATTTGGATAATTCGCGATAATATTTTAAAGTGATTTTATAGATAACGATAGGAAATAAAGAGAATTGTTTTTTTTTTTACGTTTTGTGTGCGATTATAAATTGATGCTGTTTATACGTTTAACGTTTTTGTTACTGGACATTCTTATTATATAAGCAGTTATTTAGCATATTGACATTTTGTTGAAAAAAATTGTATAAATCAGTTATAAAACAAGCAAATATTTCGAAGTAAATGCATTTGTTTGTTTCAAAGTTACATATGTACACTCCTTTACAATAGAAATGTTGTTAACCGAACTGCAAAATATTGTTTGGAAGGAAACATTAATGAGCATGAAAATAACTGAAACATTTTTAATGGAATGTAATACGGCTATCTATGTAAAGTGTGTAATTAATAAGAGCTTCTTTTTGATTACATTTGAATTACTTTATCATAATACTAGCATTGCCGGCGGCTCCACCTGCGTTCAGATGACCAAAAACAAAATTCTTAGGTTATACGGATAAGTAAATATACTCTTATATTGCAGTTTTTGCATTATTTTTCTTAGAAATTAGATATTTTCCCGCGGTAAAAAGTATCCTATATGTTGACCCGGATAACCAGCTATCACCATACCAAATATCATCAAAATCCCTCCAGTGGTTTTTCTGTGATGCGGTAACAGACAGACAGTCAGACAGACAGACAAAAATTCTAAAAACTATATATTCGGCCTCTGTATCAATAATGATGTTTATTTCAATAAGATTTTCCAAATAATATTTAAATTACAGATTCGGCAAAGTTACAATTTTATTATATGTATAGATAGATGTAATTAATAAGAGCTTCTTTTTGATTACATATGAATTACTTTATTACAAAATATCATACTTCAAAATATAATATTAATCAAATATTATGTATGCGAGTAATTATAGTCATTGAAAATTGTAGCCATGACCCGAACTAGTTCAAATAAACTTTAAGGTTAATATAATCTAACACAATAACAACCTCATATTGAATATATCAACGCAACAGTTTTGTTATATTTAATGGAATTTCATATGGTTTTTTTCACCATTTAATTTTATTAATCGTAGTTGTTATTGGTATTTATAGGAACTGAAGTTTACAGTTGTGCAACCAGAGTAACCCCCAAGGCTTATCAGTGAAATCGACACCGGCACGTCCGTATATCTTGCCTCACAACCCGATGCTTTCCGCGCTCTCTAGTGACTGGGACTTCAGATATTTATAACTCGCAAATAGCTACCACGTTCAAAATATGTATGTGCTATTATGTTTTTAGTATAAAGGCTACGTTGAATATAAATAGGCTTGAGACAACAGTTTCTAATTCCAAATATTGTTTCCTCAAAAATCATCATGTTATTTAAATATTCGCGGGCACTAATAATTCTATAGAGTATCAAGGAAGTGTATAAAATACAATCACGCACCAAAGATGCGTACAAAATTCTTATAACTTCCGATCGGCTGGTTACATTTTTGAGTGAGCGTCACCTTCACAGGATACTTCCTGAGCGGACTTCCAATTGCCAAACTACCGAGAGGAAGATCGATGTCGGTGCAGCGACCGACCGCGGTATCGTAGCCTTGGACGCGAGATCCCTGCATTCTAATCGGGCGGCCTTGCGGAAGCGCGTGCTCAGGACAGCTCTCGTAACACGCACTTCTCGACTGGCGTCTTATCATAAGACCCGACTGACGATCTTTTCTGATGCATTTACACTTCGGGACTACATAATTTTGCTTGTTCGTTATAGATTGGTTTGATATATTATAGATTATATATTGATTTGTTATTTGAAATGATTAGAACAAAATTGTGGCTTGCCGCAAGCCAATAAGTGGTAACCTGTTTTATCCGTTGATGTTGAACGTCGAACTTGTTCATCGAGTTAAGTTTGATTAAGTAGATCGTCATGGCCAGTTTCATGGACATGCGTGAGTGCATCTAAAACCCATTCGTAGTAGGTTAGTTATTGTTTAAAAATAAGTAGGGTGTGACATTTTGTATTGTTATAATCGATATTAAATATATATTACTTACGGCATAGAGTTGAGCTTCATGTATGTATCCAAAGGAAATGATTCTAAGTTTATATTAGTTTCATTTGCTCCCGAGAGCCGTCGCGCAGTGCGTATCCAACTACCCCTTTGTCTTCGAAAACCTTTATCATGTTTTAACAACTGGAGATGCCTTTTAACAATATCATGCCATTTCCATTTTACGGTCGCGGGTGAATCGCTTGCCGCATCTTCCTTACAAATTTGAAGGCCATCACTAAACCTCCTCATGTTTTGTAAATAAAGTTCATTAGATTTTGGTGGAAGACTTCTCCTTCTTTCTTCGGGTACAATACCCGAATCTTGGGAATTTTGTTCAGCGATCCATTTTGATATAAAATCATTTTTATCACAGACATGAGCACTTACTGGCTCTTCTTTGGGTGGCGGTGGTATCCAATCCAAGCTAACCCATTGACTAGATTTTGGTTTTGATTTAAAAATTACGTCTATCTCATCATCACAGTCCAATGAGCCTATCGAACAAACTGATGTTTTTTTTCTTCGGAAACGTGATCGTACCAACGGCTTAAATGGAGGTAACAATTCAGAATTAATGTTAAAATCTGTCGTGTCATCTCTTCTTACATCCTGTAAACTCTTGATTGTCTCTATATTAGCGTAAGAGTTTTCGGAGCATGAAGAGTCTACACTTAATCTACTTCGTTGTAATGGTTTAGCTAACCTAACATTTTCGCTAATATGTTCATTAACTCCACACCCGATTTCTCGTTCACAAGTTAAAGATAATCGCCTTTCATTGGATTTCTCATTTTCCATTTCTATAATTTTTGCTATACTTAGAAAATTATCTTTAGGAGATTCTTCTATTCTAGTTAGTTTCTGAGGAGATTCTTTATCTATATCTTCCGTATGCCTGTTTAGTGCTGGAATTGAGTTGTCCTCATTAAATTCTATAATTCGTGTTATTTTTTGTGGTACTTCATTTTCTTCGTCTATTGACACTGGGGAAGGTAATTTATCATTTTCAAATTCAATTATCCTGGTTATCCTCTGTAAAGGTTCTTTCTCATTATTATCTGTTAACTCAGTATTAAAATCATCCAATTCAATGATTCTTGTTATTCTTTGGGGATAAAATTCTTTTTCGGATCCATGTCTATCTTCATTATTAAGATTTCTTGTTCTACCTATAGAAAATTGATTATCTATTTCTGGATACTTAGTGGAAGATGTACTAGAATTTTCGAATATAATTTTTTCTTCTAAAGAATTGTGCCGACTTTTTGCTTTTTGTAGAGCACTTTCAGATAGAAAAACACAGGGTACTTCAACTTGCATTGACATTTTTCGGCGTCGCGACATTGTGTTTTCCTTTTCTTTATTAATATCATTATTTAAATTATCGGGCACAGCTGTATGCGGTAAAATGATAGGTGTACCAGCTACCATTCGTAAAAAGTCTGTAACAGCAGCAATGTGTGCTCCCGTAACAGCACCTTGTAATTTAACACCGGATACTTGGTGAGGCACAAGTTGGTTATCGCGCATACACCATACAACGGGCAAAGCCCCTTCTGACACCATCGTCGTGTCTCAGAGTTTAAATATTTAACACACTTTACTAATTGTTTAAATTCCTTTGCAAATTAAACACAATCGTAAGAACAAATTCACTGGCGGGTTTCCGGACTACAACCGTTTATGAAAGTAAATAAAAACAAATATTCAAACACATATATGTAAAGTGTATACGGCGACATAGCGCGATCGCAGCGCGAATGCAAGCGATGCGGCGCAACGAGTATGCGCGTGTGGACGCGACGGAGGTCGCGAGAGATAAGACGGTGAGAGTCGCACGCGCAGCACCGCCGCCCGCACCCGCGCCCGCCCCGCCACTTCGACGAGCCATCTCCGATCATACATCAATTTTTATCCATTGCACTCCGAATTATATAACGGTATAACTGGCCTATTAATGATTTAAGTGACTTGTATTATTTATTTACATTTTTCATGTGTTTCTATAGTCTTATGGTAGGGCATTATGAATAATCACATACCAAATTTTATAATAACTATGTTTTCCTTATATTTATTACTTAATGTCATCTTTTTTAACTATTAGCGACTTTATTTTAAATAACAGAATTAAAGCTAAGTCTATATCAATAATCGAATATATATAACTAGCAATATGTTAACTATAAAATTGACAGTATTACGTTTTCGACAAATTTCTTTATTTGCATAATATATGCAGGCACATCAATTCCAGATTCGCATTACTGACGCAACGACGGCAACTAAAATTAGTAAAACATTCGGCTACCGCGGACTTCGTTTATTGTAACTGAACGATTAACAGCCATTTACATTCATCGTTAGGCATCATTCATTACAATTTATTGCTTTATCTATCAAATGTACAAGAGAGGTGCCGTAGGTTCATTAAACAAAAGGTATTTATTGGTCGGTAAGCCATAAGTTGTATCCAATAATATCTTCGGAATAGGCACGGTCTAGTTGGGTACAGTTACACCGTATTGTATAGGCACAAATGCAGTCATGGTTCTTGACCATGGATATTGGATATATAAGTGCGAAATTGCTATCTCTATACAAACATGATAATAGATTAGCAGTTAGTTAAATTAGCAATTTAAAAGCTTACCACCTATCCATATTTATTTACTACACATTTAAAAAGAACTAGTCAACCATAAAATAAAGTCAAGTAAATATAAAGGTACTTTTCTATTATGATGTACCAAAAATATTATCTGTATATTGAATATCATCATTATGATATGTATAAAAACCTTTCATTTATTAGATGCATCAAAAATATTAGTAAATTGTAATAATATGAAGGATGCAATGTTACAAGCTGAATGCAATTACATGCACAAATGCCAATCAACAGTTAGAATTGGCGCCGGCGCAGCTTGTGATGCGTGGCCCGTATGTGGGACAGACAAATCAAGTATTAATTATCCATACAACACCTAATTGTATGGGTCAACATTAAGGAATGTCATCTTGATAGGTTCTACAACATGAAATATTAAAATGCTCGATTGAAGCAAATAATTTAATAATAAACTGTGTATATTAAAGGAAAGCGATTGATTTTTCACTGCAAGATCATTTCGTATGAAATTTTACTAAATTATCATTTAGTAAAAAAAATATCATAATGTCATAAATTCTAAATAATGTGAAATAGACCAACGTTTATAAAAAAATCCATAGATAAAATTTTCTATAATATTTTTTCTGTTATGAATATCAAAGATCACGTCAGCACATTCGTGATAATGTGCTTTAGCCAATTCAAAGAATAACTTTCTGTTTATCCGAATTCTGCTAAGACCTATCAGAACAGGAAAAAGTTATGTAAAACCTTCAGAAAAAAACCAGTGATATCTTCGCAGTATTATGACGTTAAATATGCATTAGTGTATATTTGTCTAATTGATTTATGGAACCAATATTTATATTTCAGTTTTGGGGGCCGTTCATAACATACGTCACGCAAAATTGTACCGTTTTAGACCCCCTCCCCCTCTTCGTCAGGCTATGTCACATTTTGTAGATAAATACAAGGATATAAAGATATTGTTTATTAATAACTTAGCTGACATTCTTTATAGATTATATAATAGCTATTAAAGTTGTATGTAAGTAAAGTAGGCTTGCATAAATATCTATTAGGTATATAGCTTTTACATATTAGAATGAGTATGCCTTTAATTGAGTATGAAATGTAAAAATAAACTGATTTATTGTAGAAACCCAAGAAACAAGATTTTGTGGGTCATTTTGATTAAACTTTACAGACGTTGTGTGACAGCTTGATGGAGATACATCGGAAGCAATTATGCTGATCCTTATCAAAATTTTATTTTAAAAATCTTATTTGGATATTAAAAGCATGAAATTGAGCTTGCTAATTCTTTCCTTTAAATAAGATTTTATTAAGTATTATTAAGTAGGCACTTCAATACAAGTATAAGGTCCTGATTAAATTATTATTTTTATTTTATTTTATTTAGGTACAGAAACAGAAAACAAATTAAAAAAATTACATCTACGTATTAAAAACTAAAAATATCATTTTAAATTTATTGTCCAATTATATCTGTACACAACATTCAAATAAAAACATATAATAATTATATAAACAAACTTAACCAGAAGGTGAATATTACAGTATGCATTATAAATGATATTTTAGTATGCATTATAAATAGGAGTCTAATGGTTCAGTTAAAATCAGAATTTATAGATGTCTAACAGAGGCACACTTACAGTGTATTGAATTCTATTTGCACAAAACAATATTCTTTGAAAATTGCTTGTTGACAATTTGTGGCAACGACGTTTTGAACGGCCGTCAGTGCATATTCATATCGACCAGTGCTAGCACAGTAATTTCGTGGAAGCGTCGTTCGCCGCGACATTGGCGCCAGGAGGCGGCGCCTAACCGAGTAATTCGCGACGCTCGCTTTTTTCTCAGCATAAATTAACATGGCACTTTCAATTAATACAGCTTCATTTGAAAGGATATGTTTGTGTTATTCATGTATATTTTGATTAAGGTTTTAGATTTTTTTATTTTAATATGAAGACGAGCCAACGGAATACCATTATTATAGTCAATATATCAAAATCAAAAGTTTCGAGTTTTTGTTAAAAAATATCTTCTTGAAAAGGTTTTATCCTCAAACCTTTGCAAATATTTAACGAATCACTATCACATGTTACGTAAATTGAATCTTGTTTGGCTACATTTATAACACAGACCATAAACGAGGCTTATTTATGGTCATTCATAATATTCAAAATCACTGAAGTGCAAATTCGTCTGAGCGGCAGAGTTCCGTTATGCATAGAGTGAGTACCTATCAATCAGATCATTATAAAAAATATTATGTAATATCCTTACCTGGTCACTTCTAAGTTAAGTGGCTACTACATCTTTTACATATTTACCATATCTTTGTTAAGGAAAAAAAAATCTTTACTAGACTACCTAACAAGGCAGAGGTAACCCAGTCAGTGGTAACGCACTCGCTAGGGAAACCGAGTGAAGCGGGTTCAAATCCCGGGTCTCGCACCTCTGATATTTTCATGTGCGAATCATTTCCAACATGATTTCCACTTGTCTTAAAGTGAAGGAAAAAATCGTGAGGAAACATGCATGTCTGAGAGAACCTAGCAAGTTTTCGAAATACGTGTGAAGTCCGCCAATCCGCAATACGGTACTAACTACTTGTAGTAAAGGGTGCGTTGCACGCAATATTGAAATAATATATTTTTAATAGATATATTTTTGGCTCTGTTTAACCCGATAAATTAGATACCTCATGTCAGATTTAATATGTTGCAGTTACCGTCATTCGAGCAACCGTTGAGAAACGTCATATAATAAACTTATATGACCTTAAGATGATTAGATATTTAGATAAGTATTTTTTTAGCGGAAGATTTACATTATTCATTGTGGATGTAGCACCGAAGCGAGCGCAACCGAATACGAGGAAATAACTAATGTAAACAAAGACCTACTCGTCTAACCTGTCTGCTATTAGTCCCTTCATTCAAGACACCGTTTGTCCGCTTCCGTTTTAGTACGAATCAAAAAGACGAAGAAATTTTTGGACTTTCTCTACATATACATATTATACAAATCAAAACAATCAAAAGCCGGAAAAAAGTTAATGAATATGCAAAAAGTCTGCAGATATTTCGAAAAATAATTAGCACACATATCACACATTAGACATATTTAAAAAAATCTATGTATATAATTATTTACGTTAATCTACTAAAAGGAATCCGAGTACACAAATAAATACATACATACATACATACTCGTAGATGACAATGATTGAATGACAGTATTTGATGCCGTTTCTAACTATATATCAAGGGATTTAATTTATTTACGCTTTGTTTTATTGGCTGTATAGATCTTTGTGAGTGAGTCGATAATAAATTTTTTTATGCTGTGCTAGATATCTCCTAGATTATAGAGTAATTCAAGCTATTTTACCGACGTACCACACGCGCACAGCAACGCGGGATAAAGTTAGTTTTATGTAACGCTAATTATGTAAGTCTAAAAAATATTACCTGTATAAGTGGTCAAAACCTGTGTTGCGGTATATTATAATCTATTTATTAATAAAAAAAATTGCTAAATTTTTATTTTTCAATGAATAACTAGCGCTATCCTCGCTTCGCTTGGTTTCGTCCCTAGGTACGTTTTAATTTTTTTGAGCGGAACCCTAATTCTTTTTCTAAAATAAAAGTAGCCTATGTAACTCCCTATAACATCAGCTATCTTCTAGTGAAAGTCCCGTCAAAATCAGTCCAGCCGTTTCAGAGATTATCCAGAACAAACAGACAGACAGACAAAAAAATTAAAAATTGTGTTTTTCTTACAAGTTCTGTATATACAAAATTTCATATGCATTTACTAAAACGCTGTTATTTTGACATTACAAACACACACTTAAATTTTATTTATCTGTATAGATGTATAGATAAGTAATTGCTCGTATTACGATAAAATAATTTCCAATTAAGTATAATATTTGTAATATTTGTATATAGCATTATATAACAGAAATACATATATTATAAAATATTATCAGCTTTAAGACTTTTAACATGCACAAACAAGCAACGCAACATACGAGTATCATTAATAAGTTTCGATAAAACGTGTAAACTAAACAATGTAGTAATCGATCATCGGAAGATTCTAATTAAACGCGAATTGGAAATCATTATCAACGTAATGTGCATTTAATTTGCTTGTCGTAACGTTCTCCAAGTACGTCAATCTACAGATTACGGTTTAAGAGCGATCTAGACGCGAACGTAGAAAGTTGCGGCGCGACTGAACGGCGCCTACGTATGTCCTGCGCTCCGCATTCCCCCGTCCGAGCTTTAAAACATGACTAAAAAGCACAAAATGTCCCTGATAAACTAAACAAAGTATAACTTGGAGCTAGAGCCTTTAGACGATAGAGAAAATAGACAATTATTGAACACATCCAAGGCTACATGTTCTAAGAATAAAACGCTAATGAATAGTTTGTTGCTCCCAATCGCTGACGCTTCATAAAATGGACTATAGAATAGGGAATGCACTAACCGTCTGTCTATTTTTGTTTTTTTATTGATAGAGCCCAGTCCTTAAGCGTTATTCTTGTAACATTTTATTAGTACTTACTGTTTTTAATATTTTATAAGCAAGTGAAAATGGTTTTAAAAGTAACGAGTTAGGTACATTCAAAATTTATAAAGTAGCAAATATAGAGCGAATTATTAAAGATATATAAATATTAATATGTGAACTGGGTTTTCTATTAATAAACCTAAAAAATCAAGTTTCATATTTAATAATAATTTATAATTATTGATTATAATTTCCAGCAATTTATATCAGAAACAGACTAATAAATATGTTATAACTGTTGAAACACGGTCATTAATTTAAGTAGTAGATATAATTAAAATTAGACATTTCTTTACATGTTATCTATTCATGCTAAGGGGTCAATTCGGCAGCTTTGACTTAAAATAGAAAATAAAAAAGTGCTTCATGTTTGGCAAGTTTATTACTCAATGTTTTGTGTCTTTTCCTTTATGACTATCAATATAGTTGGTCTAACATACGTAACGCTAACGCCCACACCGACTATATCAAGATTTTTACTGGTTCGGAGAAGATTAAGCGGGGAATGACATAAGCTTTATGCCTAATAAAGAAAGAGTTTAAGTGGGATAGTTAATAGAAGTAATATAAAAATCATTTATTATAGGGATTAGCTTCAAATCGGTACTATAAAACTTTAAAGCCAAATTAACATTTAGGATGCATGCCCCTAGGAAAACAAAAGATCTTTGCAGGATAATGGATTCTATGAAAATTCCTAAAACATTAACTGAATATAAATGTTATTTAATACTCACACACCATATTTAGAATG